ATTTCAGAGAAATGATGCATAAGGTTTGGTTACCGCACAATAAAAAATCTTTGTTTTCAGGGATTACTGTCAATTTCTTTAACTGTGTTCAATACAAAATCCACGTGGCTACTGACTGCAAATTAACCTCTTGAGAGCCACAACAACAGAAGTAATTGTTAAGAATGAATGCATTTAAAGATTATAATAGGTGAACCCTTCAAAGCAGTGGATGAAGAAATACGAAGACAAATCTATTACTGGTAAATGCTAACAAAAAATAGTAGAACATGTTGCATGCTCCATCGGCTATATAAGTGGTTTGGAACTAATGAATTTTGTAGTATTTACAAAAGGCATTTCTGCTTTCATTAGGAGACTGCAGCATTTTGAAATTGTCAGGAAAACAGCTCATAAATATCTACATTCCACTTACGTCAGACAACAAAAAATAAATGTGACACTACCAACCCTAACAAATACTAATGGATCCATGCAGCATTTGGAAGAGGTAACAAAGCCCCACTTAATAGAGAATGCAGAAAGAAGACTAAGTCATTTTCTCAAAAACCACAAGAAAAGCCTTTGCCAGAGCTCAGATTAATAGAAAGTAGGGGTCCTTATTTTGTGATTTCCTGACAACTCGTGTTTTACAAAAAAAAAAAAAAAAAAAAAAAAAAAGAAAAAAAAAGGTTTTAATTTGCTTTTTCAAAATACTTCTTAGTCCTTCTTGAAATAACAATAAATAATAGTAATAACAATAAATCATAACTTTAAATAATCCTGGTACACTTTTTGCTTTTAGGTAAAAATATATATATATATATATATCCTGCAACTGTTGTTGAACCAGCCAGGTCTACATTTTCTGTATTAGCAGCTAAGACACACATGGAAAATGTATTTATATTCACTCTTTTAATTAGTAAATAACAGGAATTAATGACAGAGTATGAATGCAGCCAGTTAACACTAAATAACTGGTTGGGGAAGGCACTGCTCAGCAACTCCCCCAGCCCCTAGCCAGCACTGCTGTTACGAGCTGCTGTTCCACAGATCATTGTTGTCTAGTCAAGGCTACCAAACCAAATTAATTAGGATGGACTTGAGGCCTGACCCCATTAACTTTAAAGACCTAGGATTAGGCCCATGGAGTATCCGTCACCCTTTTTCAGACCTGAAACAATGAAGGAATAGAGCGAGTGCACCGACTCTCTAAGCCTGTTTACTTCTGCATGAAACCAAAATCATCTCATGCTCCCTTTTACATGGAAAAGAGTTTGAAGATATTCCAAACATCTTAAGAAAAGCAATACGGAGTATATTATCATGAACTGAAACCATTTTTTTAAATCAATTAAAATCACTGGCCAAGGAACATTAACCATATACACTGTGAAGTGTGGATATGACACTTGATAATATGGTAATGTTTGGGTCATATTTGGGAATTGGTAATATTTGGGTCATAACAATCATAATTTCTGTTACAGACAAAGTGGTCTTTGCCTTGAGATATAAAATTCTGACCTGGGGAAGTTATCAGAGCAGACACACAGCCCGTTCTGCTAGCCATGCACTGAGGACACTATTTCAGCTTTTTGCTCTAGGTACACGATTACCAAACCTGATAACGTCAGAAGTTAAATAATTTTCCCCTACTCGTTCCAAAGTATGTGTTTTACATTTCGTATCTAAGCAGGACAAATATTTTTTCTGTTATGTCTGTTGAAGAAGACATTCAAACAACAAACTGGAAGCCAGGTTCTGCACACTTTCACATCATAGGACAATTCACTGACTTCAGGAGTAACGATGTGAGACTATAAGTCTTCTTTGTTATACACTAATGCAAGCTGGAAGAACTAAAGAGAATGATAGGAGAGAGCAGATAATATCAAAATATCCTTCAAATATTTCATGAGCCACCCACAACTTTAGCAACCACCACATCAGCATGATGTGTAACTGTAGCAGTCAATTTCTAGGTTATGCTTTTCTGCCCAAAGCTGTGATGGCAAATCTAGAACTTCGGCACTGTCAGTAATACAGCAACCTGAACATTTAAACACAGATACATGTCCCCAAGTGCCATGGCAAGTCTCTTGTAGATCCACTGGATTCTAACCTAAAATTTGTCACCTTGCTCATTAGAGGTTACTAGGCAAGGCAAAACCAAATGTCAGTTGCTCTTAAAGCAGGTAAGCAAACTGATAATGCTAAAAATAAAATAGCAAATAAACCTGAAATGAACAAGTGGCAATAGGAGCCTCTAACGACGATGATTAAGAAGGTAAACACATTATCTTTTATAAAAGTGATGACTGATGAAATGTTTATGATTACAAAGAGACAAGTAATGCTAACATGTAGATTATGTTATAGATCACAGCTATCAAGGGAGGCAAGAATGTGAAAAAAGACTAAAGGATCAGGGAGAGATGAATCACTGAATCTAAATGAAAACAAAAGAGAAGGTAAGAGTATAAAGAGGCACAGATGTATAGAGGTATCCCCAGACTGAGACCCTCTTCAGTGTAAGGTAAACATATAGTGACAGATCCTAAAGACTGGATTACACTCATGAGGTTGAACAACCCCCCTGAGATCTTGTTAACTACATGACAGAGGAGAAAGAAAAAACCTTCTTGTGGCCCCGTAGCTGACTTAAGGTATAAATATATTGGCAAAGGTTTTTAATTTATGCAGGTTCCAGGCCGAGGTTGGTTGGTTCACTTAGTGGTTTCTGTTTTTTTGGGGGTGGGAGAAGGCATTTTGTGATTGTGTGGTTTGGTTCTGTGTTCCTTTGTTTTCTTTTCTTTCTGTTTGCACCAGCTCCATCCTGGACTCATGGCTGTAATGCACATCTTCCTGTGAGTTTCATCAGGCAGGAATCCATGAATCCATCATTCAAAGCAAGGCACAGCTCGGTGGAGATAAATGGGAGATCCAACTGCAAAGCAAACTCCTCATCCACACCAGAACACTGATTTTGGACATAGCTTACTAAACAGATAATGCCTGTCTTACTTGCAAAGATGCTATCCATGCAAAAGAGATTAATAGCATACCGAGTAAACAAAAAAACAACTCAAAATCTAAGTTGCCTGTGTATGATTTCTGCATACCGAGTTTGTTACTCAACCTCAATTATTTCGTGCCCACAGATTTATACAGTTCTTTCTTCACAGTATTACTAATTCTAAAAATTAAAAATGGATTCTATTCAGCAAATCCTCCCCAGATAAAAGGTAAACTTAAACTGTAAACTTATTAAATATGCACATTTTATATTAGTTTCTACTTCAAAAGAAAATCATTGTACAAGATACATATGAAAGAAAGTGAACTTATTGTAAAAGATTCTCATAGACCATAATAGTGGTGCATGCAAACACAGAGAGCTTCTAACAAATTATTGCATGATAGATATTATTCCATAGTAGCTGTCTTATCCATAAGGTCAGAATGTTTACTATTTGTGGCTTTTTGAAAATAACAAAATAAACTTTTGATAAGACAAATAGATATGTTTACATAAAAGTCAAGAACTAGTAAAAGAGTCTCATACAAAAAGGGGGAATAAATGACTAGAGTCCTTCTGAAGGGGCACTGTGATGAGCTTTTTAATTACAAAGAAAAACAGTCCATCATGATTACCGTTTATGATTTATATTTATCAAGATCTGTTGCATTCAAGAACTTCAGAAGATTTCACTACTTATATCTAGCATCTGCCTCAATAGAAATTTTCATTTAAAAAAAAATTAAATGCTATGTAATTTTAATTGTTATTTAAATTACTCCTCCTTAAAGGAGCTTATTTAAATGAAAGTTTAACTTCTGACAAACGAAGCTACATCCTAACCTTACTCTAATCTTTATTAAATAAATAATATTTTAATACTCTGGCTGTAAACTTGTTATTTAAGACAGTTGCACTGACTTGTCTTGTGGGAAGCAATAACTCACTGAAGTCCATACGCGCTTCTAGCAACTGAATCTTTTCTACAGTTGTTCCATTTCAGTTTATCTAATTCACATCCAAGATTAGTTTTATTGAGAAAAATGATTATAAGTTTAAAACAGGAGTGCATACATTCAAACCTATGAATAAAATTGAGTTGGGATACAGTAAGTCTGATTTATTCTATAATCTTAAAGAACAAATTAATGAAGAATGAGTTAATTATTAACTGTTTAAACGTATATATTGGACTCAGCATATGCAGTGTGTATGTATGTATGTATATACATATATGTATATATAAGACTATCTTTCTCATTGGTAAACAAAAGCCAGAAGGGAAATGAAATTTTGGATACACTTTTTTTTTAATTTAAGGAAAACAAGTAAACTGTTGATAAGCAAACAAAGATTAGAACGGATTATTTAAATCAAAGTTTCTTATCACCCCCTGTAACTCAATTCACTTTGCTTAGCATATAAACTGCTGTCTCGTATAAGGCCTTGAATACACATGAACTCAGGAAAGCTACAGTGAGCCAAATGATTTCAAGCATGATAGTGCCCATGCAGATGCTCCCATTTAGAAACAGAATGGTCTTCAGCTCCTGAGGTTTCACACAGAATCTAAACCCAGTTCTTTCCCAAGTGGTAAGAAGAAGAGCATTTGTTATCATTACTCAAATTTTCTTCACCATGTATTTATTCTGTTTCACTTTTCCCTTAGACTTAAACCCTTTCCTAGACTTAAAGCATTGTAATAGTGATGAATGTTCAATGAAAGTAGAAGACTCTCAGGAAGAACCCATTTTGAAGCATGAGCAAGGTTTTCCGCAAACGCAAGTAACCTAGAACAGTCAGAGTTCATATTAGCAATATACATATATCTTCTAAATTAAATAAAACTGTATTAGAAGTTGCTAACTTTTACTTAGGAGCAGATAAGCAATGATATAAATGTATATAAAGCACAAAGATTGTGTTTCTCAACACTTTGCATTTTCAATTATATAGCATATTCAACATATCAGATCAAAGTACAGTAGAAACCTACCTTGAAGATGGCAACATGCTTGGAGGCTTGAAGTTTGTCATAAACGGATTAGTCGACTCATAATCAAAACTCTCCTGATGAGTCTCCCCAAATGCACTGGGTGATTTCAAGTCCGTAGAACTCTCTGATCCCCCATTGCTAAATTTATCTGACCTCCTGCTGTCTTTTTTTCCAGTCACTCTTTCAAAAAGACTAACTTTCTCTCTTTTCTCTTTTTTCATTTCTTTTTTTATTTCAACAGGTTTGGAAAACAGACTTATGTTTTGATCCCATGCTGCTGGGCTTTCTTCAAATGGATTTTTCTGTCGTGGCAGTGTAGCAAATTTCTGGGGTAGCGAAGCACTCACATTGGTAAATGGGTCGTTTTGTGCTTCAAGTGCAGCTTCATCAACTGTGCTGTCAAGCTGGTTCATTTTAGAAGTATCGACACTTAACGTCCTTCTATGTGGAGACTTTACACTCCCTACAAACAATCTGTTATTAGTACATTATCAATGAGACAGTACAGCACACCTTACAACATGCAGAGAACCCACTCTAACTTAGTTCTAGGTTACCAATTGAGTCTTAGCTCAAACCATGCTTGAATAATTAATGTATTTTTAAAAATGAACAGCTGTGGCCTCGACTTGGTGGTTCAGAAACGTTTAAGGAAGCAATAGATACTACAGAATTTTATTTTCTGTGTGAAAATTAGGTTGTACAAACAATACAGCTGTGGCTAGCGTGGCATTCCAGAAAACAGCAGTAGTCTATTGCATAATAACTTTGCACAATGCAAAATACTTTCAGTTCTTCGTATAAATCAGGTTTAAAACTTTGGTGATAGTTTCTAAACTTTTTAAAGACACTTTTATTTTTCAGAAGACATTATTTTGCCTAGAGTTCTTTCTTGTACGCAATGTTTCATTACAACATACTCTTAAATGAGGACATAAGAGGAAAAATGATAAATTATCATACACTGTGGCTTATAAATGATTCCTTATGCTCAGAAACAGCATTTATAAGTAACCACCAACTAACAGAAGTGAAAAAACATATATATTATTAACTATTTAGCCTTGGAATAGCTTCATAAACTAAAGAAATAGACTTTTGAATGTCCTAGTGATTATAATTGTCAAGATTAAGTAGCATGAGTTTTACTTACCGCCTTCATCAACTGAACCAAAAGATTCTAGCTGGCGCCTGAAGAGATGAGAGTAGCCGACTGTGCTGGATTTTAGTTTTTCTGAGGAGACGTGTGATCCTGTTAAATCTGACATCGAATGAGCTGAAGATAGCCGCTGAGGTCCCAAAAGGAAAGGTTTTTTTGGTTTTGATTTCATTTGTACTTCTCCACTACATATCTCTATGTTTGCATCTGGTATGTGAGTGCTTGGAATGATGGCAGAGGATGTATCCGAAAACGTCCCATCATTTTTTCGACCCTTCATTTTGTCTTTTAGTTTAGCAAAAGGGGATTTGGTTTTGTCCTTCATTGACAAATCAAACATACTTGCTGTCATGTTATTCCTCATAAACTGAATATTGACCTTTATTTCACCTCTGTCTTTAGTTCTTTTTCCTTGTCTGGACTCTAGGTGAAACCACCTTAAAGGAGAAGAAGAACAAGTTAAGCTGTGTTTTCTGGAGGCTAGTCATTAAATTCTAGTTAGTTGGTTAATGTCTGGCTAGTACAGTTAAAAATAGGAAAACCAAATTTCATACCAAAAATCAAAATATTCCTTTATTGAAAAGCTTTTTAGTCCATATTTGGTTTTGAAAGAGGAAACATTTAATAAGTAAAGTAGCATGAAGCTCTTTGCACTATTCACTTGTTGCAAGAACCAAAGTCAGTCCAGTGGAAGCTCACTAAACTTCACCAGACCTAATGGGCTCACATCTACTTACAGATAATTTGTACCTCATTAATTATAGACACAAATAAATATTGTTGTGCTATTTAAGGAGCACTGGTATTCTTCAAGTAGTCTTTATTTACCTGAGATGCATTAGCCAAATGCTTACTACATGACAACTATTTCATTCATTAACCTATTCTCGTTTGATTTTGCCTACGTTATCTGCTAGCAAACGTTCTTCCTCTCTGCCCCTTCCTTCTAACCACTGGTAATGATTCATATCAATTGCACTACCAAGGAAATATCTGAGACCTCAGAATGATTTTACAGTCAATCATCATTTTGGTTTTGCAACTGGAACCCCTGGCGACAGCATCTCCACACGCAGCAGTGGCAGAACAGCGAGCATGTAGGGGTATCTAACACCTGCCCCATCTTTTGGGGGTCACCAATAGGATTAGCTTTAGGACTATTTCCACAAGCTTTGGAACCATGTCTCACACCTCCACTTTAAGCTTTTTCTAAGTATTAAAGTACTCAATGGCTTATTTGCTTGGTACCATGAAGGAAAAGAAATACACCACTTCACAACCTCCCTGAAAAGTCTGGGGAGGAGAGGACAAATCCCCTAAAGGACAAGCTCTTCCACCTGTCTAGAGACGAAACTAAACCAAAAGTCCCAAAAAAGTGTGCAAATCCCTCACTATTTATGGAATTACTAATTTCAAAATTCTGTAACAATAAATGTATTTTAGCTCAGTGCTTACACAAGTTAGACCAGGACAAAGCTCAGCTAAACACAGGAGTAGTAGCAACCCTACAGTTACTTTAAGACCGTCCCGTGTAGTAATGCATTGCTAGGAGCAATGCACGCATCCCAGCACAACAATACATCGTCATGATCAAGTAACTTTTGAACCGGAGACTAAGAAATGAAATTGCCTATCAACGCAGATGCAAAATTGATTATGCAGTTACACATGCATTATTCAACACTGCCAAACACACAAAACAAGGTCAGAAAAGGAGAAAAATAGCCCTCAATTTCCTTTCAGATTTCATAAATATTTTTAAAGGTGACAGCTGAAATAACGTTTTCAGGAAGAGATACTATTTTTTTTGAGATGAGAAAATACTTTCAAAAGTGACCTTCCAAAGAAATAATGAAAGGGTAAAGAGCATTATGGACTTTACTGTTGCCTTGCGACATCCAAAATGTTTTATATACCACAGTAAAACAGAATAATTAAGAAATATCAGACCACCTCTGTCCTGACACTGGACAACACGAACCCAGACCAGCAGATCCACAAGTTCAAAAAGAAGGACAATTAATGCAGGATGATTAAACTTCTTTCCTAAAAGTTTTCCTTCTGCTGTGAGATAACTTCGCTTATGTATTTTAAATGAAATGCAAAAACTGAAATATGTTAAGTGTCTAAAAAAGATGGATTGTTTTTCCTTTTAGTTAATAAAATTTCACTTCTTGGTAACTGATTCCAGAAACTCTTTAATTCATCTACAGTCTCTAAAGAAAACATACGCAGCAGAAACAAGAGTAACTCTCTTTTTTATGATGCATAACATCACAAAAACTGGAAGACAAGATAGGCTGCTTTCTTTAAAACTCTTTAAAAGAGATTATGTTCATACGTTCTTTTTTTTATATATAAAAAAGAGCAATTAAAATACATGTAACAAGCAAGCAAAGACCTTGCTTATAGATCTCTACAGATTTTGTCTGTGTGAAAAAACAAAAAGAAAAAAAAAGAGAAAGCCCTGTCCATGATTGCTTACATAGTAAACAAATATATATATATAAGGCTTATACTTTTTGACACTCAAATTTATTAGCTCACCCTAGACAATAAAGAAACATTTTCCCTTTCCCTCCACTCTTATCTCTCAAACATCGTGTCTCTGATAAGATTTTCATGTTTCTAGTTAGAAATAACCGAAACTTTAAACACATACGACACACGCTAACTTGTTTTAGAGCAATATCAAGATATAAATTCTTCAGCTTTTGCTGTGTTGAAGAAAGACTTTTCATTTAAAACTGAATTTAACCCAATTATTGACATTCTTATCATGAACTAACAACTACTCCATGTCGCTATCAGCACTCCCCACTAATGGCATACCCACACATACTGTTTTGACATTCACCAGGTCTGAAGGAGAGCATTTCGGTACACAGCTCATACACCGACATCTGCGGTTCGTACATTTGTTTTCAAAGCAGACTTTGAAGAACTTTACACCAAAACTAAGTTCAGCTGAAAAAACAAAGAAACTCTCCTTACCCTAGTGAGATAGAGGTGCATGAGGCACTGGACCTTGTACCTGGTGGGACCAGGCTCAACGCTACTTCTGATTCCAATAGAATTTGATCATAAACTTTTTACTCCAGCTAAATTCCTCTGGACTTCAGTGGAATTTCTATTTGAAGAATGATTGCTAGATCAGGTCTGTGTATAAAACACATATATTTAATTTTTATAGGCATTTCAAGGAGGGTTTTTTTGTTACCTTGGAGAGTTTATCTCGATTAACTTACAATGAAGGTTCCATATGCTTCAGCTCATAACAGGACAATATGAGAAGCAGACTCAATGATTTTCTTCAAATTCAAAGGCAAATAATTATTTTTTTAAACAGATGAGAACAAATGCAAGCAACACATTTGTGTGGAGCTGCACGTGAATAAGCAACCGAGTCTGTAAATGTTTCTTATTAGAATCTGTTTCTACAACACATGGGCGTGAGCAACAAATAGAAAAACAGTGCTGAACATAATAGAAAAAAGAATTGGAAAATGAAGTCCACTGTTTTCAGATAACATTTTGATCTTAAAATACTAAATTCCCCTATACCACTGCCAATTTTAAAAATTGTAATGTATTATAAAAGCCAATAAAACTTGCTATTTTGGTTTTGTTTACAGTACTTTTAGCCACAATAAATGCTCCATTTGTCAGGCTGCCATAAGCTTATTCTATAGAAAGCCTGAACAAAGTAGGAAAATAGCCAATAACATACACGAACAAAACAGAGTGGCTTTTATGAGAGCAGATGCCCTTTTATTTAATAACCAAATATTACATCCAGTCTTGCAGACAGTCTTTATTTAAACAGACCTTGTACAAAGTCTGGCAAATTTTCTCAACTTCAAAGGAAGCCCTATTGCCTCCTGAATCACATTCATACTTCTTGCTCTCACCTTCCAATGTCCTGTAGGACAACATCCTCCATACACCCTCTAATTTCTTCTTCTCCCCTATGGTTTCTATCAGAAGAACCATTGCTTCTTTTTCTCATATGGTTTGGAGTGTGCTAATGGGCTTTCTCTGTCCTGCACAGGTTTCTGATCATTGTTATTCTGTAAGTATTATTTAAACTGTCAGTCTACATGCTGGCAATTTTTTGAACACATAAAGAGATCAAGATTCATGGCTGAATAGGAAAAATCCTGTTGCGCAGCCCGTCCTGAAAAACAAAGCCCCGATCTGCAGAAATGTGACAATTTTCTAACCATGACAAAATTACTTAATTTTGGCCACACCTACAATTAGGGGTGGAAAAAGAAAGCTCCCTTATTTCTGGGAGAGAAACTAACAATCGTCTTCATATTATTAAATTGTATGGTATGAGCGGCACTGAATCCTGTACCTTAGGAAAGACAGACAGGAAGAGTGAAGGAGAAAAGTGAAGTAAGTTACTATTAATAAATTACAAAAAATCTAGTCTGCTTAATTCCACCCAAACAGCTAGCAATCCATAAATATTTCTATTTTCAACAAAATTTCTTCAACTGCTCTTTTATTCCCCTTTTGCTGATTTCATTTTCTTTCCATGTATTCTGTTTTTCAACTCACTCTTGCTTACCTATACTACTCCCATTAAACCCTTCATCCTGCATTCAACAAGTACTTTGAAAAAAGCGTATTTTTTGTCCCCTACTAACAGCAGGAAGCTGATGTCATGGTGCCTTATCCTCAAACACTGCCATGGAATTTGACTGTTCCAAGCCTTGGTCCTCTCTTTTGTTTGAAGAAGCATCACTCAACCTACTCTGCTGAATATGTGATTAACAGTATGGGCATGAAAAATCACTATCTATTTTAATCATATACAACTTTATAAGCCTCCAAAACCACTGGGATACCTATTTACCAACTTCAACAGGCATTGGAAGTATTCTAGCCAGCACATTCAACCTGTGCATGAAAGAGCATCTTCTGACTCGGTTTCCTTGCCGGTGCTGAAGATGGGACAAAGAAATTTTCCCCTTCATTTTGCTGCTTTGCAAATATGGTATTCTGCTTTCACTCCGCAAACACCTACTGAGTTGATCTAATATCACTTTGCTGTAATTTTGACTTGCAATTAAAGATTTTTGCAAAATCCGGATTTTAATTCCCAAATTACTGAATTAATTCTGTTTCTAACCTTGATTTTATGGCTAAAACCAGTAGCCTGATCTGGTAAGTGACATTACTCTGCTACCTAGTTATGAGGAGGCCAGCAGGTACTTATCAAACTGCCCCTAAAAATGCTACCAAAATCCCAGCGACAGAACATGCCCACCAGCCGTCATGGAAAGGAACTACTTTGTGTTAGATTACATGTGTGAGTTAGGTACAATGAAGAAATTTACTCCACCAAATCTCAATAACAGAAATGTCCCCAGCTAATGGCTAAAAACAGCATCCAAAGTGCTGACTTGTCTAACAAATTCCTTAGCAG